GAGCCATTTCTCCCTGCCACTTTCTTCTCTTTTCTTTTTTCCCCTATTTTTAAGTGACATAATCCCTGGTTCGATTCCTCCACCCCTCTAGAAGAGCCTGGCAAGCTACCAAGAGTATCCTGCCCACAAGGCAAAGCCTGGCAAGCTACCCATGACGTATCCGATATGCCAAACACAGTAACAACAAGTCTCACAATGGAGACGTTACTGGTGCCTGCTCAAGCAAATCGATGAACAAAGAAAGGACAGTGACAGTGACTTAGAGAAAAGTGAGTTTACCCAGCAGTGAGGACTACTAGAAGGCTGCTTAAGTTCTAGTTCTACTACTACCTTGGGCTAGAAAAGGCTTCAGGAAGCCCTGCTGTAGCTAGCTCTGAAGATGAAAACACTCATTGGCCAGAGGAATGAAGGCTGGTAAAATCCTCCAATCAGATCAGGCCGCTGGGGGCGGTGTCACATGCAGCATTCACCTCCCATGCCCCTCCCTCCACAACCCCACCCAGGGCTCCCAGGCAAAATTTCCATGTCAAAACAAGGAGAGAGGAAATGCAAAGTCATGGCTCTGGGACAGTGGCCAACGCTTGCCAACACCGCTGGCAGTGCTACTCCGTGGATAAGAGAGCAGGGAGTGGAGGGAGCCAAGAGAATCACCGGACAGAAACAAAGAGGCTATTGAGGAGGGTGGGGCTTGATTACGGTTCTGATGACATTGACACGTTATTTTAGCTACCCCGGCAACAAGTTGACACAAAAAGTCAGCTTTGTTCAAAGAACTCCATAAATAAATTCTCACACTGGGCATTCAGCTGTGGACCTGGTTACATCTTAGATGCTGTCCTGGTTAGAAAAGAGTGTCCCTCCTCCCCCAAAGTTCAAGTGTATTGAGAATAAAGTCTTTGCTGATACTGTCAACTAAGATGAAGGGGTATCCTGGCTCAGGGCAGCTCAGGAACTCAATGACGTGTTCTTAGAAGAGGAAAAGTAGAGAGACAGAAGTGCTGTATTGGGCTGGAGCGATAGCACAGCGGGTAGGGCATTTGCCTTGCACGTGGCCAAAGCAGATTCAATTCCCAGCATCCCATATCATCCCCTCCCCACCCCCCAGCACCGCCAGGAGTAATTCCTGAGTGCATGAGCCAGGAGTAACTCGTGTGCATCAGCGGGTGTGGCCCAAAAACACGCCCCCCCCCCCCCCCCCACACACACACAAACAAAACAGAAGTGCTGTATCTACAAACCAGGCTCCCTGAGGATTTCTGCCAATCACCACAAGATAGAAGAGGCAAGGGAGGGAGGGAGGGAGGATACCTTACTGGCACCATCCAGGAGTACCATCCTGCCATCACCATGATTTTGGTCCTTCAGTTTCCAGAACTATGAGGAAATAAGTTTCTGGCAAAAGTCACTCAATTTTGTAATCATTTATTGTGGCAGCCCTAGAAGAGCCGGTAACACAGAATAAGGGAGAAATAAAAGCTAGAATAATCAGAATATTGCTGTTCACAGGAAGAAAGTGGAATTATAAATTCTGCTTTCAAGCAATATGGAGGAGTCATTCTCTTTCTTTAAATTTCCATGATTCTCCTAAGGCTGAGACAGTGGGGCTTACCTTTTCCAATTTGGCACCCTAGAAGACTCATGTGTGGGTTATCTTGCTTCTCTGCCGAACTGTGAACATTTCTTGATTTGCAATTAGTACCAAAGCCACATCTTCCACCCCCTGCTTCTTAGAAGGTAGATTCTGGGATAGACTGAGGCTTACCACCAAACCTGTTCAAATCCCACTTAGAAAATTGCTCATTAAAAGACCCATACTTGCTTCTTGTAAAGAGCAGAACATTCGAAGGGAGAGAATGAAGAATGAAAGGGGGAAAGGTTTCAACTTGAGAGGTGGATGACAAAGGAGGCAGTGATGTTTCCTGATCCCTGAGACACGCCTTCGAATAGAAGGTTGAATCCCGTCTGGGGAAGTAGGGGAGCTGGAGGGAAGGCCAGCTTGCAAGACCCACACCCACAGCGGAAAGGTGACTTCACTGATGATGCCACTTGAGCTTGAGAAAGGAGGAGCACCAGCTGCCTCTTCCTCCTGTCCTCAGTTCACTCCCTTAGGTAGGTTCTCACTCAGCATCTTCATAAAATCTGGGAAACTCTTTTTCAAAGAGTTTGAAACAAAACAAAACTCATCGACGGAGCCAAACCTTTCAATAAACTTTTGTTCAATATTGACCAGGATGTATTTTTCTCATCGATGGTGTAATAAGATCATGTTGAAGGACAAGCCCTTATTCAAGGACCTGCTGCTCCTTCCATTGAGCAAATGGAAACTGCAGTGCTAGGAGACTGGGAACTGTAGTTCATACCCCTGTGGTACAGCGAAGGGGAATGGCACTGGGAGCTGGAACATAAGTGAGAAGCAGAGGAAGTGTTGAGTCTCTCATCACCTTGGGGATGGGCATTAACCCTGGGGAGGGAGTCAGGAGAACGGGAATCTGGAGGACTACAGAGCAGTCTTCAAGGATAGGGGTATTCCTTTCACTCATTCATTGAAAAAAGAGGGGGTGGGTAACACTCACAGTGCTCGGGGTCTACTTCTGGCTCTGTGCTCAGAAGTCACTCCTGGTGGGGCTCAAGTGCTCAAGGGACCATATAGGGCACTGGAGATCAAACCTGAGTTGGCTGTGTAAGAGGCAAGTGCCCTACCAGCTGTACTATTGCTTTGATCCCTTAAATTCTTTTTCTTTTTCTTTTTTTTTTTTTTTGCTCTTTGGGTCACACCCAGCAATGCACAGGGGTTAGTCCTGGCTCTGCACTCAGGAATAATTACTCCTGGCAGTGCTCAGGGGACCATATGGGATGCTGGGAATAGAACCTGGGTCTGCCGCGTGCAAAGCAAATGCCCTACCTGCGGTGCTATAGCTCCAGTCCCCTGATCCCTTAAATATTTTTTTAAACCTTTCACTTGAGGTGCTGGGATTTTTAATAGTGTTGATACTTTTCATGCATCCATCATTCCTACACCACACCTTTCACCTGTGTCCCTGCACCAGTGTCCCAAGGGCCCCCTATTCACCCCTTCCCATGGAAGCTCAGATCTATAGACCAAAGAGCAATAGATCTATGACTTTTGCCATTTGTTATTTTCTTACTATGTTTCTTTATATACTACATATGAGAGAGCATCTGTTATGATTTACAGTGGAGGTGGTGACACCCACATACATATACATGACATTAATTTTTTAAACTTATAGCAAATATGAGCATCATTAACATATGCTAAATTTGAAAGGTGGTGATTGGAGGCTCATGATATTCTTCCCCAGACAATTCTATATCATTGGAATATTTATTCAGAAGAGAGAATTCTAGTGAGTGAGTGACAGGGAAACATTCCAGATGAATGTCAGCAGCATTTTCCTATTCAAGCTTGTCTCCAATGTAGCTTGTTTAGACACGCTTCCCTTCCCCACCCTGTTCCCTGGGAGATGCCATCACTAACCCTCCTTCAATGACACCTATCTGAATCTTACAGGTTCAGTCACCAGGCAGCCAACACTTTGGCATGACAACAAGAGTGCAAAACTTTACTCAGATGCATTTAAAAGATTTAAGCTGTTTGTGTCTAGAGAGTTAGAAAGTAAGGTATTTGCCTTGCATGTGAGTGCAGGACCTTGATACAAATCCCAGATATCAACATGGTACCCTTTTTTTTTTTACTTTTTGGGTCACACCTGGCAATGCACAGGGGTTACTCCTGGCTCTGCACTCAGGAATTACTCCTGGATCTGCACTCAGGAATTACTCCTGGCGATGCTCAGGGGACCATATGGGATGCTGGGAATTCAACCTGGGCTGGCAAGGCAAACACCCTACCTGCTGTGCTATTATTGTTCCAGTCTCCACCATGGTACCCTTGAAAACATCTATAGGTCACTCCTGAGCTACAGTCATGAGCACTGCAGGGTGTAATCCAAACCAAACTCCCCACTCCATCCCCCCCACAAAAATATTTAAATAATTTGAGGCAAAATTACCTCCTGTAAGAGGTTTCTGATCATGAATGAATTTACTGGAAAAGATAAATTATATGAAGGTATGGGCTGGAGCAATAGGACAGCGGTAGGGCGTTTGCCTTGCGTGTAGCTGGTCTGCTTCGATTCCTCTGCTTCAATTCCTCTGCCCCTCTCAGAGAGCCCAGCAAGCTACTGAGAATATCAATATGCCAAACACAGTAACAATAACTCTCAAAATGGAGACGTTACTGGGCCCACTTGAGCAAATCAATGGACAACGGGAGAACAGACAGACAGATATGAAGGTAGGGACAGAATTAGCCAGAACCATGTGTATATGAGGTCAGGGAACTAGAGTTGATCAGGTATGGATAAACCCACAAATTACAGGACCCTGAATGCCTGGGAGCTCCCACTGTTTCCTTTGGGGGATGGGGTGTTCTAAGAGTGGACTTAGAAAGTTAGAAGACTGCAATGAGGGAAGAGGATGAGAGCCGGCACCTGACTCTAGGCCAGGTGGTTAGGGAACAGAGAGTTCATGACCCTGATATGGATATTGGTGGTTGTGCGTTTAGCTGATGAGTAGAACAACTTTATTCCTGGCCATCTAAAATGCAAAGTGAGAAATGGAAAGAACGAGAAAAGCAAGCAAGGAAGGAAGGAAGGAAGGAAGGAAGGAAGGAAGGAAGTAGACGACTTGACAGGGAGAGAAGACCAAAAATATAGCCCTAGGTGGTCGCTCAGACCCACTGACCTGCAGAAAGGTGGGCACTGATGGGGGTCCTGAGCAGCTTCTTTGGCCTCCCTGATCCCTCCATGTTCTCCTCTATCAACTGTAAGATTGACTCCCTCAAATGGGGGATGGGGGAGCGGGGTGGTGGGGGGGCGCTGTGTTGTGAGATTACGGGATTCAACCCCACGCAAGAGCATCTTAGCATTGGTGCATAGTAAACTCTTTACACATGTTGGTTATGTATAGTTATTTATTCTTTTTATTCTTTGTGTCCTTGGTCTTAGCAGAGTTCCCTACAATCAGACCAAATACATGGGGGCGGGAGGGAGAAAACAAACCAACCAACTCTGATTTGCTGTCAGAGTTAAATCTCCCTGTCAGGGTTTGTTCTTGGTTGACCGGATCCATCTAGAAGCAGCACAGCCTGGGACTTCAGTTCTGCCGGGAGAAAACAGGACTCTGGCAGAGAGTTACACTTCAGGCCAGAAGAGAGTGGGGAATTCCGCAGGACCATTATGGAAGGAGAGATTCCGCTTCAATATTCTTCGCGGAAGGGGTAATCTTCCAAGTGAGCCGAGCTGCAGAGGAAACGAGCAGAAAGAACCTGTGAGTTCTGGGTTCAACGGTAAATTTTTCTGGTGTATTTTGCAAGTCCGAGTACTCAAAGAACCTCCTTCTGCTGAGGTTCTGCAGGAACAAAAGAAGAAGCCCCGATCTGGACCTGTCAAATCCATCTGCAGTGCCAGGAAGGAGCCCGACCAAGCAGAGCCCAGGCTGCCAGAACAATCTCAGAGTGATAACTAATCACAAGTCTGGTGCCAAGAGAAGCACTGAGCGGGGCCTGGGGCCATAGTACAGTGTGTGGGTGCCCGCCTGCGTGTGGGCGACCTGGGTTCAATCCTCAGCACCACAGAAGGTCTCCCAAGCCCTGCCAGGAGTAATCTTCAAGCGCAGAGCCAAGAGTAAGCCCTGAGCACCACCAGATGTGGTCCCCAAACCAAAAAGAAAAGAAAAGCAGAGAGTGACTTCCTCCAAGTTGTCCTCTGCTCTAGCACTTCAGGGTGGGAAAGAACAACAGACCAGATTGTGATTGTTATGAACATCGATGATCTATATTAAGGGTTTGTTTAGGACACCTGACACATTCTAAGGGGGTACTCAAAAGACAGAAAGGAAAACATGGGGCTGGAGCAATAGCACAGCGGGTAGGGCGTTTGCCTTGTATGCGGCCGACCCAGGTTCGATTCCCAGCATCCCATATGGTCCCTTGAGCACCTCCAGGAGTAATTCCTGAGTGCAGAGCCAGGAGTAACCCCTGTGTCAGGTGTGACCAAAAAACAAACAAAAAATAAAGAAAGAAAGGAAAATATCTGCTCTACATTTAATAAATTCCACAAATCACTTCGCTTAAACTGCAGACAAGCCACCTAAACTAAAATGTGCAAAGGCGTTCTCTTGTCAGATAGTACAGCAAGTTGGGCACTTGCCCTGCATGCAGCTGACCTGGAATTGATCCCTGGCTCTGCATATGGTCCCGGAACCCTGCCAGGAGTGATCCCTGGGTGCAGAGCCAGGAGGGAACCCTGCCAGGAGTGATCCCTGGGTGCAGAGTCAGGAGTAAGTCCTGAACACCACTGAGTGTGGCCCCAAAACTAAAAGAAAACAAACAAAAAAATCCTTCCTTTTCTATCAGGACAGACGAAGGGCCCTACATGGAACCCAAAATACTGTTTTAGCCATTTATGTGAAAATCTAAGACACTGGAAGAGAGATTGCCTCCTCAAACTTTAGGAATTTCAGTTGTGTAATTTTCCAAAGGTCTTCAAATTCCCAGTAATAAGACTGCCAGAAAATAGAAAGATTTCCTTCTTCCCACACCTCACCCCAACCTAATTGTAACTCTAAATAAGTTGGAAGAAATAACTTTCCCATTGAGAATAAATCTCTGTCCACACTAATGCTGGAGTTATAGTTTTATGCTTTACCTTATATAAAATAGCAGCTAACTCAAAGTACTAAAATAATTTTACAGCAACAACAAATGTCTTTAAAATATAGAGAGATAAGTAAATGACAAAGTAAAAGCTTGTTTCTGAATCTGTTTCTTTGGTTTCAATTTTATGAAAAAGACTCATCCTCTTCCTCTTTAATTATTCTGCCTCTTTCAATTAACTGGCTGCATAGAGGCTTGTAAAGATACTATCATCAAACTGGAATCTCTTTCTCTTCAGAGGGAGAAATGATCATAAAAAGGTTGTAATACAGCGGGTAGGGTGTTTGCCTTGAATGCGGCTGACCCAGGTTCGATTCCCAGCATCTCATATGGTCCCCTTGAGCACTGCCAGGAGTAATTCCTTAGTATAGAGCCAGGAGTAACCCCTGTGCATCACCGGGTGTGACCCAAAAAGAAAAAAAATACAAGTAGAACAACTGAATTAATTGAACCTTTAACCTCTGAAAAAGTTCCCTTTAAGATCCTAGATTTTCCCTACTTCTAAGATATAAGAGGTTTTGGAGACAATGTTGTTTGAATCTATTGACTCAGATACCATCCTTCTTATGGGCAAACCCTGAAATTATTTTCAAATAAATCATGCAATTTACAGCAACTTTGATGGAACTGGAGGATATCATATTAATCAAAGTAAGTTAGAAGAAGAATTACCAGATCATCTCATCTTGTGGCATCTAGAATAATGGGACAAGGGAATGCAAGGCATCAAAGAGGGGTCCCTAGATTACCCCGGTCCCTAGATATAGAACAGAGAAGATAGGAAAAGAAAGAAACTGGGGATAAGAGGTAAGAAGAGGCAGATGGAGCTAACAGGGCCAGGGACCTAAGACAACTGGCAGTGTAGACCAAGGCAGATAACCAACAAACTGAGAACATGAGATCCAGACTATAAAGACCAAACTTAAGAATGTGCCTTTCTTTTTCTTTCTTTCTTTCTTTTTTTTTTTTTTTTTTTGCTTTTGCTTTTTAGGTCATACCCGGCATTGCACAGGGGTTACTCCTGGCTCATGCACCCAGGAATTACTCCTGGTGGTGCTCAGGGGACCATATGGGATGCTGAGAATCGAACCCAGGTCAACTGCGTGCAAGGCAAACTCCCTACCCGCTGTGCTATTGCTCCAGCCTCAAGAATGTGCCTTTCAAGGAGGCATGCTGTGGGATGGAAAATTGGTGATATTGGTGGAGGGAAGTTGACACTGGTGATTGGTGCTGGAACATATATGCCTAAAACTCAACCATAAATAACTTTGTAAATCACAGTGCCTCAATACAAGAGGGTTTTTTTTATTCAAATACATTTCTCTTTCCCCAAATTAATCAGTACTCTAAAAGTAAAAAGACCTTCATACTTTATACCAAAGATCAATTATTTTTTTTCTCCACTCTTGTATAAGAGAAAAAAAAACATTCTTGGAGCACTATCCAGAAACTGGGGATAATAGGAGTAAGCAGGCCCTAGCTAGAAGCACCATGTTGTTCTCCACAGAACTTTTACTCTCCTCTCTCTGTCTCTTCCCCTCCCCCTCCTCTCCCTCCTCCCTCTCACCCTCCCCCTTGTTTCTGCCTTTACACCAGTGCTAAGAAACGTTCCTATAACCTGTATGTCTAATATGGAGTGAGAAGCCAACCATGGACAAGAGAAGAGGACCAAACAGCAGCAGCTTGTCCTCGTCTGCTGTCATTCAGAGCTCCAGGGATAGAGAGCACTCATTGCACTCTGGTGATTGATATCTTAAGTTTTGCAAAGAACAGAGTCCTGACTGCACCAGAACACTGAGGTCAGTAGCACCGTGTCTGACTGATCCCCTTTTCATCATCTACCCAAAATCCCTTTTGGCTATTACTGACTTTCCTCCATCCACCCTTCTTAAACCCCAAGCCCCAGCCTCAGAGTTAGATAATTTAGGGGGACAATGAGTTGACCCTCTTTTCACCTTGCTGACACTTGAATAAATCAAATTTTCTCTCACTGAAAAAGGGGGAATGCCCTGCCACAGAGGCAGGGTGGGATGGGGGGGATGGGGGGTGGGAGGGATGCTGGGACCCGTGGTGGTGGAGGATGGGCGCCGGTGGAGGGATGGGTACTTGATCATTGTATAACTGAAACCCAAGCACAAAAATTTGTAAGTCTATAACTGTACCTCATGGTGTTTCACCAATCAAAAATAAAAATAAATAAATAAATAAATAATTTTCTCTCACCAACTAACCCTTATATCTGAACCCTTATCTTGCTGGCCTTCGAGCAGCAAGCAATGTGCCCCTGGATCTTACATCCTATGAAAATCCCTTAGTTGACTGTTTCTCACATAACTCTTTCATGGAATAATGACCTTAACCTACTAAGTCTTCTTCCTGCTGCCACAAAAGAAATACCTTGTAACTGTCTGACCCTGACTGATAACCTCATGCCCCCAAGTGAGGATCTTAAAAAAATGCCTTTGGGGATGTTGACATATCATGGCTTATATGTGAAAGTGGTACTATGTGTTCCCAGAATTGCTGGATGGTATTCTTCCTCCTGTTCCTCAAATTAGGCTCTAATGAAAATTTCAAGGCAGACTAAAAAATAACTCTGGAAATAAATGAAATCACTTTGCTGATAATTCTGCAGAAAATGCTGCTCTAAAAGGAACCAATAAATTATTATTAGGGTTCCGGGAGGTAATTTTTCAAAGAACTTAGAAAACTGCTCAAGGAGACCAACAGTTGCTCCTGGGTGAAGAAAAACAGGGTAGAAAATTCAATGACTATAGGGTTAGACAAAAGAGAAAGTTCTCCTTTGGAACAAACCACAACTCAGTTCTATTGGAGAATTAAAAGTTTTCACTTCTGATAGGATACTTTCATTACATTATGTGTTCACCAATAAAACAATGGTCCTTTGTACCAAAGTTCTTTTGGAAAAGATGATACCCACTGGGGGATTATCTTTTTGAACTTTATATTGATCTAGGATCTCACACTATTTAACAAATCTCTCTGACATGGTGTGCCTTTCACAAACTCCAGCATTTTCCTGTTTCTACAATCTTCCATCATCTAGCTGATGCACTATTAAAACTTGGTTGACCAAATCTGTAAAGGTTCTCCATAGACTGTGACCCAAAACATTGCATCCAAACTTCTAAATCTCAGTCCATACTCTCTTAATTCATCAACTTCTATCTGTTGAGATAATCCCTGGAAAACTGTCTACCTAGTTAATGCTTCTTTGGATTCACAATTAAGTTAGATAAACTCCAGCTCTTTCAAGAAAAAAACAAGGATACCAGGGATACCAGGGTTATGGCTCATTGTAGGAGCAAGCACTTGCCTTGCATGCAGGATATCTGAATTTCATCCCAGCACCATCCTCACATTGCCACCAAGTTCAATTCCTGACTGCTTGTGTGACCCTCAATCAAGTGCCACAACAAATGTGACCCCTGGCCCACTGTGATGAAGTATGAAAGTGCCAAGTATGAAAGTGCCAACTCATAGAATCCCCAGTAAATCCTAACCAAGTGTGCAAGTACCTTAACCAAGAGTGACCCTCAGTGGACCATAGCAACAGTGAATGGGGGAGCAAAGGTAGAGTGAGAGGAAGCACAAGCTGGTAGAACAAAGGACATTTCAGAGAACACTCCAAGGAGACAAAGACCTAAACCAACACCTCATACCATCTGGACTATTCACCTATTGGAAAAGAACCTTTCAGAAAACTCAAATAGCTCACTGAGCAACAGCCCTCAGGGAATAGATTCTGGGACTCATGTGACACCCTTGATGATTAGCAATACCTCCTAACAAGAACTGCACATCACCCAATGACTTTCCGATAAAGACTGCCAGGAAAGGGAATTAGACATCTGAAAATACAGCTTTCCCCAGATTATCAAACTCAGACCTCCATCTGTTTTTCTCACTATTGTTCTCTTTTGCCTCATGTTGTTTGCTTGTATCCTTCCCTTGAACTGGACAACTTCTTGTCTGCACCCTAATCTTTTATAACAGGAGGAACTTTCTCGTGATTGAGGCTTTAATCAAATCCCACAACCAAATAGTTTCAGTTGAGCAACTATTACTTCACCCATAAGCAAGAGTAATTTTTAATAATTGTACAATCTATGGGCTGGAGCAGCAGCACAGTGGGTAGGGCGTTTGCCTAGCACGTTGCTGACCCGGGTTCGATTCCTCTGCCCCTCTCGGAGAGTGTGGCAAGCTACCAAGAGTATCCTGCCCACATGGAAAAGCCTGGCAAGCTCCCCGTGACATATTCAATATGCCAAAAACAGTAACAACAAGTCTCACAATGGAGATGTTACTGGTGCTCACTTGAGCAAATTGATGACCAATGGGACGACAGTGCTACAGTGCTACACAATCTATTGATTAAGCATGTCAATAGAAAAAAAAAGGCATTGATCTGTGTGATACTAGTGCCTGTACAGTAACAATGTCACCTGTTGCACATGGTAAATACCTCTGGAAAAAACACCATTTTAATTATATTAACCTTGGAGATAAGTGCATAGACTATCACTAGTATACCAAAAGACCTTTGCTCTTTTTAATCTGAGCCAACTGATTTTCCAGTTTGAGTTTCTAGCTTTGTATTATCATACAAACTGGATCAAACATACTGCACTTCTCTGCTTTTGTGTTTTATTGTTAATTGCTGTGCTTGTTTATAATGCTTTATAGAAGCAATGCACTTAAAAGAGGTAATGCTAGAGCAGTCCTTCCAAAGGAGCCCCACTACTTCTGGCTCCAACAAGACAGACTTGGACAAGACACACTAGAAATGTCTTACTGATACTGAGGCACAGGGACCATTAACTCAGAAGTAATCCTGACTCTTGATTGTGGTGCTTTCAGAGAGAGATCCAGCAAGAGGGGGGAATAAAGCATTTATATTTAGATACTTAAATTAGATATGGAGGCTAGAGAGAACCCACAATGTATTGTGTATTCCATTTTTTTCCTTTTCCTGGAGCACTGAGTGGGAGGGTTTGGGAAGTCTTAGAAGGCAGTGATGAAAGTTGAAGAGGGGAAGTACAGGTGGATTTCACCTTGAACACCATCTATTTCTCCTGTTTTGTTTCTGAATAAATCCTGCTTATAGATTTAATGTATTATCTTTCAGAGCGGGCAGAGTTGTGTTATTATCATGTCTTTATGTCATTCCTGTTATTATATTGACTATTCTATTACTGCTTTTCATCTGGCCAGTCAGTACTAAAGGCGCTTTTCTAGCAGCTTCTGGATTTTGTGAGCCAGGAAGGCATTTCCAACACTAGCCTCTCCCCTTCTCCTGGGTATATGCATGTGCGTCTGTGTGCGCACACGCGCGTGTGTGCACACACAAGGGGCGGGAAGCTCAAGCAACACTTTGTTTTGGGGGTCACATTCTGTGGTGTGTGGGGGCTACTCTCAACTCAATACTCAAAGGTCACTCCCAACAGGGGGCCATGTGGTGCTGGACATCAAACCTCTGCTCATGCATGCTAAGCACAGTCTTCAGTCCTAGAGATAAGACGCCCAACTGAGATGCTAGGGACCACCTTCTGAGACCGGAAGTTATAAAAACCTTTTGCTGCAGAAGCACTGTTCTGAGAAGCCTGTCTCGGAGCCTTCACAGGCAGTCCTGATTTCTCCCACTCGCTTATGTTCATATCTCCCTTGACTTGGACAAATAAACCAGATCTCATAAGCTCAGCTCTGTCATGTAATTCTTTCCATATCACAGAGCAAGATTCCACAAGCTGTGAAAACTTTCCCACTAACAAAAGGCTTTCTCTATCTGCTCTATTTTTTGGAAATTCATTTTTCTGTCTATCTAAAATGTTACCCAGGTGCTACTGTCTCTGAGATGTTTATCTATAGCCAGAGAAGTTCTTCCGATTCCATGCAGACATCCAAATGCCTATTAGCATCAAATGGGCATTTGGGCATTCCAAACCAAACTCCTAATTTCTCCTCCCAAATAATAATTCCATTCTTGTGTGGCTTGGGCAAACACTCAACGGAAACAAAACCTGGAAGTACCCTTGACTTCTATTTATTTAACAAATATAATTGGCTTTGGGGCTGGAGCGATAGCACAGCAGGTAGGATGTCTGCCTTGCACGCAGGCAACATGGCTGACCTGAGTTCGATTCCTCCGCCCCTCTTGGAGAGCCTGGCAAGCTACCGAGAGTATCTCGCCCGCACGGCAAAGCCTGGCAAGCTACCCGTGATGTATTCAATATGCCAAATACAGTAACAACATGTCTCACAATGGAGATGTTACTGGGCCCGTTCGAGCAAATCGATGAACAATGGGAGGACAGTGACAGTGAATTGGCTTTACTTGCCCAATGCATCCAGAATTGGATCTTTTTTTTTCACCTCTTTCCTACCCAAATCCAGCTACTGTCATCTCATCCCTGATTTTTATATTAGTCTTGTAGTCACTTAATGGTAAAGTCAGGGTGATTCTTTTATAACATGCCAGATAGTGGCTGGGAAAATAATATAGCATATAAGGTATTTGACTTAATGAAGTCAACTCAGGTTTGGTCCCAAGCATGATACCCTATTCCCTGAGCCCCTTCAAGTGTTATCTCTGTGCAGACTCAGGAGTGAGCATTAAGCATAGCCAGGTGTGGGCCCCAAACCAAGATTTACAAATACATATGCAAAAAACATGTCATATCAGGGTTAGCAAGAGAGGATAAGTGTTTGCCTTGCATGTAGCTGATCCTGTTTTGATGCTTGAAACACTTATGGCCCCCTGAGCACTACTTGAAGTGAATCTGAGCATTAAAACAAAGAAGTTTAAAAAGCAACGCTAAATTCCTTTCCAGGAAGGGTCTATGCCACCTTGCCTGAGCTAAGTCTCTAATTTCTACCTGACCTCATTTTCTCTCACGAATTCTGATCAAACTCCACTGGCCTCCTTATGCTTGAATGTTCCAAGCACAATCCCACCCCCAGACCTTTGTACTAACCATTCTCACTGTCAAGACAGTTCTTTGCCCTGATAATGTACAAAGTTTATCCTTATTTCAACCCTGTTCAACAGTCACCTTGCCAGCCAAGTCTCATGTGGCCCACACTATTTAGAGTATCCATTTTAGCATCACCCACCATTTCTTATCTCTGTTTCTCTATTTCTTAAATTCTTAAATTTAAAAAATATAGTATTTAAGTAGTAGTATTTAATAAATTCTAAAATTCATTCCTCTGGATGTGCAACCAGACATGTATTTTGAGTTTTTTCATACTTCCTTAGCAAAGAAAGTAATGAAATAGAATATTAGATAATGTTTCTTCAGTTTGTCAGTTGTAGGACTCATTTTTATTCTTCATATTTGAGTTTATTTATTTACATCTTTACTAGACTGTCAGCCTGAATAGAGGAAAGAATTCTGTTTAATATGATGTCCCAAGTGTTTAAAATGTGCCATGGGGGCTGGAGTGATAGCACAGCAAGTAGGGCATTTGCCTTGCATGCAGCCAACTCAGGTTCGATTCCCAGCATCCCATATGGTCCCCTGAGTACTGCCAGGAGTAATTCCTAAGTGCATAAGCCAGGAGTAACCCTTGTGCATCACTGAGTGTGACCCAAAAAAAAAAAAAGTGCCATGTAGCTGCTCATTAAATATTGAATGAATGAAAATTCTAGCTCCATGTCCAGAAGTTTAGCTATATATTTTGGAATGTGTCTTTTCTCATCCAAATTTTCAGGTATGGTTTTTAATTTTCCAAACTACCAGAAAATAATTTGGGTATTTTAAATTTTTTAATTTAAAATACTAAAAATTTAATATTTTAATGACAGTGAAAGTAGTTTCACATGCCTTCCGCAAACCCTCCAGTTCTGTAGAAAGATTTCTGACAATGCTCCTAGAGCATATCACTCACCCGTCTATGTTGCATAATCTCCAGTTTCTGTTGAAGCTTAAGATGGTCGCCATGTCTTCATCACTCAATTTAAAGTCAAAGACCTGGAGAGACAAGAGTCCCAAATGTCATTGACAAGCCCATTCCAGGTGTAATAGGAGAAAGCCAGTCATGACCATGGCCTTCTACTACAAAAGTTTCTCCTGTGAGGGGCTGGAGAGATAGCACAGTGGATAGGGCATTTGCCTTGCATGCGGCCGACCCAGGTTCGATTCCCAGCATCCCATATGGTCCCCTGAGCATCGCCAGGAGTAACTCCTGAGTGCAGAGCCAGGAGTAACCCCTGTGCATCACCGGGTCTGACCCAAAAACCAAAAAAAAAAAAAAGTTTCTCCTGTGTTCATTGGCTACAAATTTGCTTCCCCTAGAGGCTCTGCATGAAGGCTGCCATATTGATAGGACTTGGTATTCCAAAAGGGAGAACCACTAGGCATAGAGGCATCAAAGCTCAGTTACATGCAAGAGTCTCTAGTGGACTATGGGTTTTTCCAGAACATTCTTCAGGCAAGGCTCATACCTCCTCTGTGGTTGGGATGATGAATGAGGGGGCAGGAGCATCTGCTTAGAATATAACCCATGACCCTAGTGCCCAAGGACCATTTGGGGCTCATCCTTGTGGAGAGGTACAGCTAAGCTCAGACTTATCAGAACCACTCAGGAGGGTCATGGGTACACTCCCAGCACATCCTTGGTCCAGGGGTTAGTCATCCTAGCTCATCTGAGGTCAGCTCCCTGACCTAAGAGTGGACATGATGGGTGAGAGGGGGCTACGACCCGCAGACCACACAGGATCAAATGAAGAAGCCTCCCCAACCCACCCTTCCCACTAAGGAAAACCAGGGCCCACCAGCCAGACTCTCACCTTAAAATTGTCAATGATGCGTGAAGGCGTCACAGACTTGGGGATTGTGACCACATTCCTCTGGATGTGGAACCGGATCAGAACCTGTGCAGACAGGGACATCATACTCTCATTCACCTACAAACCCGTCTCCTCTGCTAAAGTGGAAAAAGAAAATCTCTCTGCTATTCACTGTGTCTCTAGTTACACCAGCAAATACTGGCTGATCCCTTGATAACTCTCAGACATCTGACATTCTTTTATTCAATCATCTCTTTTTATCTTCGCAAGACTATGGTTTTCCTTTTTCATGGTTTTTATAGGGGGAGGGGGTAATGTCTGGGGCCACACCCAATGGTACTCATAGGCTATTTCTGCCTCTTCTCAGAAGTGATCCCTGGCGATGCTCAGGGGGAATATTGGTGGTTCTGGGGATTTGAACCAGAATGGGTCCTTAACCCGAAACTATCTGTCTGGCTCCCTGATTTTCTTTATATGAAAAGTAGAGAATAATCTGGGGTGTGGCTTAATAGTAGAGTGTATGAGGCCCTGAGCTTGACCCCAGCACAGCAAAACTAACCTAAACAAAACAAAACAAACAAAATAAAATATTATACTCCCCATTCCCTGCTCCCCCAATCCTGGCAACAGACCACAAACAACTAAAAAACAAAAGAAAATTTCCAAAGCTTGACCCTGATTTCTAAGTAGATAATAATAGCACTGTCCTCCCGTTGTTCATTGATTTGCTCAAGCGGGCCCAGTAACGTCTCCATTATGAGACTTGTTACTGTGTTTGACATATCGAATACATCACAGGGAGCTTGCCAGGCTTTGCCGTGTGGGCGAGATACTCTCGGTAGCTTGCCAGGCTCTCCCAGAGGGGCGGAGCAATCGAAACTGGGTTGGCCGGGTTGGCCACGTGCAAGGCCTTACTGCTGTAAAAATAATAATAATAATAATAATAATAATAATAATAAAGTGGCATGAAACAGTGTTGGGGGTCATAAGTTAAGTGATAGAGCTCGAATCTAAACCAGAATCTCTCAGGTCCAACAGTCATAGTCTCATGGCTGGACTGTCAGCTCAACAGGAAACCATTGCTGATGCCATCGTCTGTTAAGAAATGCCTTTTATTTCCTGGATATTCAAAGAGATTTTCAAGGAAGAATATGAGAGGACTTCTTTGCCTCTTTTATTCCTCTTGGAGGTGTTAAAAATATAATAAAAAACCCAAAACTATAAATATATTTTCAGTACATTAAACATATAAAAATTAAATGTAGCGGTAGGGCGTTTGCCTTGTATGCAGCCAACATGGCCAACCCGAGTTCGATTCCTCCGCCCCTCTCGGAGAGCCCGGCAAGCTACCGAGAGTATCTCGCCCGCACGGCAGAGCCTGGCAAGCTCCCCATGACATATTCGATATGCCAAACACAGTAACAATTAAATATTAAAATAATAAAATAAATGAATTTATTTTAAAATCTAACAAATATATAGAAATGATTACACAAATAAAAAGGTAAAGACAACACAGGATTTAAACCCAAGATGGATTTTCTAGGGGCTGGAGATGGGACCAGGAATCCAACCAACCAACCAACCAACCAACCCTGCACACACACACGGTACCTGAGCTGTGGTCTTTTTGTGCTTTGCAGCGATCTCCTTTAATTTGGGGTCCTCCAGCAGGGCAGGCTCGTCTGGCTTGGCCCTGGAGATAGAAAAAGGCTGGTGTGAGCATCACAAGGTCACCCCAAATAGATGAAGATCTTTCCAGTGATGGTCCTTAGGCTCATCATCAGTCTTTACAGGAGACACATGGCAGGAGACCATGAAAGTTTTGTGTCTTCCCCAAGTGCCCACCTCTGGGCTCTGAAGTCTTAGCATTTGGCAAAATAGGAGTAGTCCCAGAAAGTCAGACATGCTGTCTTGTTTATTTGTTTGTTTTTTAAGTTCTATTTCCCCCACATTTGGGGTATGCTGGGTACATCACCTTAGTAGTATTTCTCTTGGATGATTTATAGTCCTAGACTAGCAGCAACCAGTTATTAAACAAGTTTTTGAAGAGTATCAAGAGGAAGATCCCATTAAAGTCTTACCAAGGCCTATTAGGAGACCCCAGAGGGCTGTAAGCAGTCACAACCATGCCTTTGGACTTGCAGTACTCGATCAGCTTGTCCTGGGTGAGGTAGGGGTGGCACTCAACCTGCAAAAGCAAGTGATCCCTGTTACCTGGAAAGCAGACCTGCCTTTTCAGCCACTCATAGGCAATTCTAAACACTACACTACACTACAAACACACACATGCACACGCACAAGCACACACACACACACACACACACACACACACACTCATACACACGGATCCCCAAGCAAAAATACAGCTTCTGGGGCTAGAGCGATAGCACAGCGGGTAGGGCATTTGCCTTGCACACGGCCAATCCGGGTTTGATCCCCAGCATCCCATATGATCCCCTGAGCACCGCCAAGAGTAATTCATGAGTGCAGAGCCAAGAGTGACCCCTGTGCATCGCCAGGTGTGAAACAAAAAGAAAAAATAGCTTCTGATAGACTGACTAATCCAGAACCCAAGACCTTTCACCCCTCCCCAAAGTGTCCAGATCACAGGCAGAGCCCTGAAATGCGACAGCTTACACTGAGCTTGCCTCCAATGATTTAAAAGTCACTGGGCTGGAGAGACAGTACACCAGATAGGAAGCCAGCCACCCTGTATGCAGCTGACCCATGTTCCATGCCCAGCTCCACATATTCAGGGGGTCACTTCTGAACAGGCCAGGAATGATTCGTGAGAGCATTTGGGAGTTTGCTCTGAACACAGCTGGCTCTGTTCCACCACCCTCTCCCCTTCTAAAATCACACTGTGGTAGGGCCTTCGATCCTGGTGTTAAACAGAATTTACCTGGTTAGTCACTGGCTTGTGTTTAAGTCCGGGTTTGTTAAAGATCTTTTCGATCTGGAGGTGGTTGAAGTTGGACACCCCGAGGGCTTTCACCAATCCCTCGTCCACCAGCTCCTCCAAGGCCTGTCACAGAAGAACAGATATGGGCAATGTGGGAGGGACCCTGGGGACCTCTCTGAGATAGAAGTTGGTAAAGGATCCATGGCAAGAGAGTAGATCAAAGCACTTAAAAGGGAATTTCAATCCAATTTGTGGGAGTCAATCAAGGCTCTACCCTACCAAGCTTTCTTAGACCAATGAAGCTAGAGATAAAAGGTGAAAGGGTTCGACTTTGTTCCAATCCTTGAAATCTGGGTGATCTAGGTTTCTGAGGTACCTTCTCCCACAGAAATAAGGGTGGTTAGCAGGAATATTAAGCTCACTGGGAACGTCACCCCTCTGACATCAGGGGTGAAGAGAGAAGAGATCAGGTGGAGTTGAAATTTGACTACTGTTCAATTAGGAATTCACAATCGTTGGTGCAGAAACTGCATCAAAGAAAGGTAACTTTTAATGATTTTCATCCTACAAAGAGTACTTTGCTGAATTCACCCAAAAGTATGTTAATATGTTAGCTGAAACTCCCAATTCAACATGGATTCATTATTCATTGACTACAGGGCCAAATTCTCAGCAGGTAGAAGTAAATGATGTGTTTCCATCTCCTGAGTCTCTTAAAGTTCAGTGAAAGTGCTAAGCTTTCCTTTGGGGACCCATTAGCCATGAAACAAGAGCTGCTCGGATTCCCAGGCATTGCCCAGGGGATGAGGGAGGTCGGAGAAGGAAGGACCAGGGCTCTTAAAACCCAAAAATTAACTTGGAGAAAAGAGATTTTTTTAAAAAAAAAAAGCAGGTGGGGGAAGAAAGAAGGAGCAAAGATTGTAAGAGAGATAATCATGAGGGGTTCAACCTCTGTCCAGTGATTCTCAAACTTAATTGAAATTTGGAAGCACCTGGGAGTTTTAAAAATATACAGATATCCTCTGTTCCCAGCCAGAGTCTCTTACTAAATTGGGTCTAAGATGTAACATGGACTTTGGGAATTATTCTTTTTTTAACTCCCCACGTGATTTAAATGCAAATGCCAGTTGAGAACCACTAGATGACATAGATCTTCCTACTGGCAAAAGTCTAGAATGGATGATAGAAGAATTCCTGAAATGTCTGACTTGGACAGTGAGATAACATAGAGGTTTCTGCAGGGCATAGGTCAGGTGTCATGGGGTGGGGGTGCAGGGTTCCACCCTGACTTTGCTTCAAGAAGATTAAGGACATTTCTGCAGAACTGGTTGAACTTCCACGTGAAAAGCTATCATCCGTTTAGGTCTACCCGTTTCCTCTGACACACTCTTCGTGCCTCCCAATCTTATATTTGTCAGTCAGTCATTCTCAAACCCTCAAGAACCCAGCACTGTGAAAACAAGGGGACTTGTTGGAGAGGATGGAGACAAAAGCCCACCACATGCTAAAAGATAAATACTATTAGTATTTATTACAAGATTTTGTTAAAAGGAGAAAACTGAGGAGGAACACTAATTCTCTAGACCCTTATGGGTTCACTCCCGGCACATTTAGATAAACATAAGACATACCTCCCAGGCATCCAAGAATGTGACCTTACTGGGGATTATATTCCCTTTATCATCTTTCGGTAAAAGGACCTCCCCAGCCTATAAAAGAAGAATAAAAAGTTTAGGGCAAAATACATCAGCGCATTTGACTCTGTTAAATGTGGATTCAGGATCCTGACTGGTGTTAAACACCTACAGAGGCAGATCATTTCCCCTGCCAACTCGGGAGAACTACTTTCTGGAAGTTGAGTTTCAGTGAAATCTTGACCTCAATCTACAGTAGTATTTGAGGAACAGCTGGTCTGGCTTTAGAATCTATCTTTAGCACCTTCCAAAAGCCACCAGTAACAAGAACATGAGTTTCCTCTCATTGATAAAGCTTCAGGAAGGAACCTCCTTAGGGCGAACTTCAATTTCAGAACCACTAGATAAGGATTAGCTTTCAAAAGGAGTGGTGCCTTGCTTCATCGAGAATCCAGGGATTAGAGACAGCATCACTCTAGCAGGTCAGGAGGTTAGAGAACTGGGAAACATGGTCTCTCCTCTCTCTCAGCAGCAGATATCCGAGCCCCGGGCAGTGGGTGTTGTCTCCCTGGCAGTGGATGGCTGGCGCCTCCTTGGGTACTTGACTTACCTTGATGATGGCACCCCCTGGGTGTGTCTTGATTAACAAGAGGGCTAGGCTTTCCCTTATAGTTCAATTGCGTAAACACTCCCTTGGGAGGGGATCCCTTGACCTGGAATCAGGTTAAAGGCTAAAGGGTGGCTGCAGCTTGTCTGAAATGCCAGAAATTAGGATTTCTCTGACTCACAGCAGAGAGGGAGCCAAGAGGGTCTTGGGCTCCCTTCCAGACCAATGCCGTTAAGCTCTATCATCTCCTCCTGGCAGCCTACGGGTCAAGTTATCAAGTAAAAGGCCCCCGATTCTACCCACTCCAGCATCCAGCTCTGGCACAATCTCCACCTACAGCCCCTCCCTGGGAAATAGAGATTGACAGAGATGGGAGGAGCTCAAACCTGTAATCCCTGTGGCCAGTGGATAAGATAAAGGTCCAGGTAGTCCAGTTTCAGGTCCCGGAGGGTCTTCTGAAACGCTTGCTTCACTAGGGGTCGATCAAAGAAGGTGGGCCACAACTGCAGAGCACAGTAGTGAAACATCAATGCTGAGCAAAGACTGGGCCATCTCACAACTCCTTCTCCCCGCTTTGGGGCATGCACCCTGCTTTAACCGGGAGGCTCAGGTCTCTGACAGCCACGTTGGCTGATGGACCAGATGCAGGTGTGGGGGGCTGAGCAAGTCAACAGCATTCGGTACAGACTGGGGACATCAACTCTCCTTGTCTCCTTATGTCTCTACACTTCATCTTACTGTTTAAGGGTACTGATACGGGCTTAAGTGTATTACTCACCTCCTGCCTGTAGTCTTTTGAAAGTTTTGAAATTTCAAGCACTCTAAAATTTAAACACATGGTTCTCTTTAAACCTCAGTGTCTCTAAACCCACCTACAGCCCCTCTCAGGGATGGGTCAACAGGGAGTTTATCCAGACTCAACCATATGCTGTGATCTTGGCTTGTCTCAACAGATACACACATGGGCTTTCCAAGAACCCCAAAATACTGTTGTCAGGTAGATGCAATACACACTCAGGGATTCTCAACCCTTACTCACTTACTGCACCCTTTAAAAAAAATCATAGGGCTGGAGCAATAGCACAGCAGGTAGGGTGTTTGCCTTGCACGCGGCAGACTCAGGTTCGATTCCCAGCATCCCATATGGTCCCCCGAGCACTGCCAGGAGAGATTTCTGAGTGCATGAACCAGGAGTAACTCCTGTGTGTCGCTGGGTGTGACCCAAAAAAGCAAAAAAAAAAAAATCACATTTTGTAACTCATCATTTACTAGACTGAACTAAAGGAAATTCCATGTGTCAATTTTTTAAAAAATGTCCCTACCACCTTGCAAATACCCGCTGGCTAGGAACCTTTGAACTAGAGAGAGCCTCTGAGAACCCCAATGCTGAAAAGCAGGGTTCCGGATCTTTCCCTGACGGCACTCTAGTCCTTGGTCCTAGGGCAGATGGATCGTCATGATTGGAGCGGTGGCCCTCAGGACACCGCTCTGGTTTCATGGAGCCACTTTCAGCCGACTAAAAGCCCCTCCATATGTGCAGTATGTGGATGGTGCTTGCATCCCAAGGATGTTGTTAGAAGGACCGAGATGAAGAGGGCTGGGCCAAAGAAAGTTCGAGAGTAGAAGTTGGCCAGATTCTGGGTGCTGAACTAATCCCAGTCCATCCACCGGCCTCCACCTGCCTTATTGCAGCAGCTTGCCACCCCCCAGCCAGGCACCTTGCTGACGATGAAGAGGTCCTCCCTCTTCACAGCCTTCTCCTGGATCTTCTCTTTGATGGCTTCGCCCACCTCATTCTCATTCTGGTAGACATAGGCACAGTCAATGTGGCGATAGCCCGCGTCGATGGCCACCTTCACGGCTTCTTTGACCATGCCTGGGGGAGACTGGCAAGAAAAAAGAAAGCTCCTGGATTCTTAGCTTGAGCCCACCTCCAACAGACTCTTCCACACCACTTGCCCCCTCCAAAACCAGGATCTCCACCTGGGAGGGGAATACACTTTGGGCAACGTTTTCAAATAGGAGGAAGGAAATGGAGTGAACTGGATGATTAGGGCTTCACTGCCTCACTTGGCTAAAATAACCATTCCCCTCTCATTCAGGCCAACCCTCCAGCCTTGAAGGTCCCCAGGTGAAGTGGAGGAACAGCAGGCTCCTGACCCAAATGTTCGAATGACCAGGCTGAACACGAACTCTAAAATCAACCAATGGCGCGTATGGCATAATCAAGGCTCATCACAGAACTCTGTGGTCTGGGGCAAATGATTTCATCTCTCTAAAGGTTGCTTGCTAAATGGCAGTTGAACTCACAATGCCTCTGGCAGCCTTTGTGCTAACCCACTGTGACTGTGAAGCATTTAGCACAGCGCCTATGATCAGAGGACGCAAGTCAAGATCTAATTATCTGTTTGGAGAAAGATCACAAGAAAACCTTGTAAGAACAGGGTTTGGGGGCTGGAGAGAGTGCAGCAGGCAGGGCGTTTTACCTTGCAAGTGGCCAACCAACCTGGGTTCAAACCCTGGCACCCCAGATGGTGCCCTGAAACTCAACAGGAATGGCCCCTGAGCACTGAGCCAGGAGTAAGCCCTGAACATTTCTGGGTGTGGCCAAAAATAATAATCAGGGGCTGGAGTGATAGCACAGCAGGTAGTGTGTTTGCCTTGCACGCGGCCGACCCAGATTCAATTCCCAGTATCCCATATGGTCCTCTGAGCACCGCCAGGAGTATTTACTGAGTGCAAAGCCAGGAGTAACCCCTGAGCATCACCAGGTGTGACCCAAAAAGCAAAAATAATAATCAACATCAAGTTTCTTGGGGTAGGGAGGCAGATGTCTGGGGTGGTAAGCATGGTTTGCGTGTGTGAGGCCCTAAATTATTTTTTCAGTCTCCGTCCCCAGCACTCTAGGATAGCCCTAGGGTAGGGCCCAGAACCACTGGGCCTGGGCTCAGTGGATTAAGTCTGAACCATTCGGCTCACCCTAAAAGAATAAGCATGTCCAAGTGAGCCCAAGCAGGCCTCGGAGTTCCTCAGAAGAGGTCTATATACGAGAAAGAGATCAGAGTGTCCTTACCCACTCAAGACCAAATAAATAAATAAATACATTAGAAAAAAAATTAAAATAATTTTTTTTCTTTTTGGGGTCGCACCCGGCGATGCAGAGGGGTTACTCTTGGCTTTGCACTCAGGAGTTACTCCTGGCGGTGCTCAGGGGACCATATGGGATGCTGGGAATCGACCCTGGGTCGGCTGAGTGCAAGGCAAACGCCCTACCTACTGTGCTATCTCTCCGACCCCTAAAATAGGCCCTCCCGTTGATCGTCGATTTGCTCGAGCAGGCCCAGTAACGTCTCCATTGGAGACTTTGTTGTTACTGTGTTTGGCATATCGAATACTCTCGGTAGCTTGCCAGGCTCTCCGAGAGGGGCAGAGGAATCAAACTCGGGTCGGCCATGTTGGCCGCTTGTAAGGCGAACGCCCTACCTGCTGTGCTATCATTCCAGCCCCTAAAATAAATTTTTAAAAATACGTTAAATACATGAAAAACACATATTCATGGGTTGCATGAACAGTGCAGAGGTACTTGTACCTGTACATGGCTGACCCAAATTCAATCCCCTGCATCCCATATAGTTCCCTGATGAGTGATACCAGAGGGAAAGCCAGGTGTAAACCCTGAGCATAGAGGGTGTGGCCCAAAAACAAAAGAAAAAGAAATCCTTCATTCTGTCCAACCTAGCCAAAGCAAACTAGGAGCAAAAGCACTTACTATTCACCTTTCACAAATCCCTTGAAAGCTTCTTCTATTTCAAAAGATAAGCACATTGAGAGGCAGGCCTCCCAACCACTACACCTTCCTTTACCTTCCTGGTATGAAATCCTTTCAAATTATATCTTCTAAAACAATGCTTTCAGCAGCCTGACATTTAATTCTAAAATTCTGCCCCCCCAAAAAAATTTTTTTTTAAATAAATGTCTATGGACTGAGAGTCATGGGTGAGCTGGAAGCAATTCTTTTCCCCATGACAGTGAGACTGAGACCCACCCAAGCTCTGATTGAGTCAAAGAGCCCAAAAAGTTTTAAGAGAAAAGCAGAAATTGAAGCCAGAATGGACATGTTCATCCAGCTGGACCAAGCAGGCATGCTGAGGATGACCCCTCCTGGCCAGACTGGAGAGAGGCTGGAAGAGGAAACCAACAGAGGGACCAGAGAGAAGAAAAAAAAAAACTATTAATGACTCTGGGAAACTAGTTCTATCATTGGCTCCATCGTTGGTGAATCAATGGTTCATCATTGGTGAATTTGGTGGGAGAGAAAATGAACACACTTAGAAAATAATGTGTAGACTGTACTGACAGATTCAATGGTTTCATGTGTGGACACTGCAATGATGCCAGCTGATACTAAAGTGGGGATCAAGAGGTGGGCATTGCAACTCAGGGACACAAAGGTGGGAGCAACCAACAGAGTTATATTATAAATAGAAGTACACAGGCAGAGGGCAGATACAGATAGAAAGACCTGGCTAAAATCAATTATCTTACATAAGTCATTGGTGTTTAATTAGCTAGTTCTAATAACATCCCTCTGAAATGCAGTATAATTTGGAGGTATCTAACTGAACCAGATTTGAGACATCTTCTGGATGCCACCTACGGTCCTTCAGAAAGGACCCCCGGGAGCACACCACTATTCATTGCAGCACTTAGTACTGTTGCAAAGATAGAAGACTCAACCTAAGTACCCAACCACTGATGAATGGATTATGAAGATGTGGTATACATACACAATGGAATACTATGCAGCTGCAAAAAATGATGAAGTCATGCAATTTGCTGCGGCCTAAATAAAACTGGAAGATATCATGTTGAGTGATATAAACCAGAAGATGGACAAACACAGGATGATCTCACTTAACTGTGGTATATAGATTAACTGTCTGAGGGAATGTAATGTAGAAAAAAAAGGGATGCCTAAATTACCCTTGACCCCAGAGTAAAGGGAAGAAAAGTGTAATGAAGGAAATAAATCTGGGGGCAGGGAGTAAAAAGATGAGGAAAGAAAGCATTGGGGGAGCAGAGATAAGAGGCTTGAGGTACATCAGTAATGTGGGAGAGTGGTATAGCTCTATATCCAAACCACAGCCTCAACAACCCTGAAACATGAGCTCCAAACTAAAACCACCAAAAACTGAATTTGGGTCAGCCATGTACAAACCACCAAATCTAAGATGTGCCTGTGGAAGAAGGCAGCTGAGGGTGTGGGAGGGAAGGTGATACTAGTTGTCGGATTGGTGCTAGAACTTGGTGTGTCCAAAACTCAACTATCAACAACGTTACAAATCACAGTTCTTCACAATAATTTTTTTTTTTTTTAAAGAAAGGGCCACCAGGAACTCCTCATCATGCAAAGGTTCTCTCTCCTTGTGAACAGCTGAGGAAAACCTCTGAACTTCCATTGCTATTTTTAGCCACTTTGTCCCCCACATTTCCTCCATCCTAGGGGTTCACAGTCCCCTCTTCTTTTCCCAGTTCCTTCACTTGTACTCTCACGTTGTTTTCACATGCTCTCTGCCCAATAAAATCACCTCACGGTTTGCGCACAGGGCGTGAAGCATAACTTTGAAAGGTAAGGCTTGGCCACCGAGCGCTAGGCTCTCGGGGGGTCTCAGTTTACTAGTTCAGAAGGGGGTGCAACAACCCTGAGATGCGGCTCAGGAATCAGCCTCACAGAAGCCAGGGAGGAGCCGCGGTCGTGTTTTGCTTGCTCCCGAGTCTATCTCAGCTCGGCTCGGCTCCCCTCCTTCGCGGCCCCACCCTTCTCGGATCACAGCATTTCTGGGTTTAAGGTTGAAAATCCGAATCAGGAGCCTGCCCGCACCGTCCCTGAGTTTCAGCAGCGCAAACTGACAGTACTGCTCCAGGACTCCACGTGCAAGGTCACCCCTTCCTTCCACCCTCACGTGGCAGCACACCCAAGAGAGCCTTTAAGTACCTAAGAACCAGGGGTGGGGATTCGGGGAAAGGCCGTGTTCGTTTTTTTTTTTTTCCCTGAAAGCAGGAAAAATCAACTATTCTCCGCCCCTAACCCCCCTTTCCGTCCCTAATCTAGCAACGCTCTTAAATCTAGCTCACCAAGTGCTCATTAGGCACACCGGGCAAGATAGTCAGGCGCGCCAGCATCCTGCATCCGCCCCTCCTCCTCCCCCCGCCCCCCCCCCCCCCCCCGGAAAGCAAAATCATCTGCATCCAAGGATCCTGGACCAAACGCTCACCCACACCCCTCACCACCCCCGCCGCGTTCGCAGAGCCTTCCCGGAGGAGACAGAGGGAGAAAGAGCCCACGGCCCCTGCCCCGGGAGACAGACGTGCAGATATCAGCATACGTACCTGCCAGGTGCCCAGACCCACGATGGGCATCTTGGCCTTGGTGCTGAGTTCCACGAAGGTTGCCATGGTGCGGGCAGAGAGCGCTGAGCGCAGCGACCAGCCGGGCAGCTGGTAAATAGCGCCGGGCTTCGAGGGCGGAGCCTGGGCGGGGCGCCCGCAGAACTTTATTCTCGCAACGCCCAAGTTCTCCGAGCCGCCTTGCAAAATTTTCTGCGGGGCTCGGTTTTGCATATGAACTTTGCGAACTTTAAACTTCAAACTTTGCAAAGTTTAAAGTTCAAAACCTTCCCCCGCCACACACACACCCCATTCCCCCGAAGATGTAATCTTAAACAGAGTTGTATGAATTGCTTTGGAAAGGGACGCTTGGGAAATTTTGAGAACGCCTGTTTTCTTTTCCTAACAGGAAATGAAAGTGAGCAAAAGGCGGCCGAGGACGCCAGGAATAGGGCCCTTGCCTGGCGTGGGCTGGGCCTGGGTTAGGTCCCTGCACCGCATACGACCCCCGCAGACCACTGCCAGGGATGGTCCCTGAGCTCTGAATCAGGATGAAGCCCTGAGCACAGCTAGGTGTGACCAAAAACAAAAAGAATGTCCTTCATGGCAGACTAATTGTTCTATGTTGGTAAATCTTTTATCCCAGAATGGGCCAAGTATCTGTGAACTTCCTAGATAAAGATCTTTGGTTGCTAATTTTGCTACATATTTATTTAGGATTTGAGGATTGACCAACTGTTTTCCAGTGAACCTCTTTAATTCTTGTAACTTCTTTTAAATTGTTTTTTTGTGACTATAAAATGACACAAGCTCATTAGGGAAAAATTGGGGGGTAAGTTTGTTATAAATATTTTATATTTTTTATAAATATAAAAATCAATATTCTTATTACTCAACATACTGTTGCCAGAAGCGTTTCATCTGCCAGTTCTCTCTCTCTTTCTCTCTCTCTCCCTTGCTCTGCACACATATATGTTTTAATATACAGTATTAAATACATACACACATATATGTTTTAATACATAGTATATAGTTTTAGATTAGACTTATTACCACAAAGCAACTCTTTTATACTTTTATAAAATCTCTTTTTAAAATGGTTCTTAAAACCAATATAAATCTTAATTGTTGTAAGAGATTTTGTCACAGATAGATGATTATTTATCATTGTTCCCTATTCTTAAATATTTAAATTGTTCCAAGTTTGTTTCTAGTAAAAATAAACATTTCGGGAATAGATGAATGACTAAAAGTTCCTGCCTTGCAAGTATGAGCTTGTGAGTCTGATCCTGGTACCACCCACATGCACTGAGCATAGTATTGGTGGCTCTGCTGTATGGGGACAGCCCCACTCCCTACCATCACCAAGACAGCACTGCAACAGTGTATGATCTCTGGCATAAGGCCAGGCATGTATAAGCAGCACAAAAAAAGACATCTGAGCACCAAAGCCAGGAGTGGGACCACTTATGAACAAGAGTATGAACATCATGGTGATCTCAGGTAAACACCACAATAAGGAGTGCAATCCCCACTAAGCACATGTGCAAAACCCACAGGCAACATTGCAGCACTATCCACATTGGCAAGAATCCAGAAACAACCCAAGTATCTGAGAGCAGATGAGTGGATACAGAAACCATGGTAGAGAGACACACACAAACTAATCTCAGAACCAAGAAACTTGCAGCAGAGATGCTGCTGGACTTTGCAATAGGCCACTTTCACCAGGCTACTCCAGACGGGAGCAGGTGCTGTCCCTTCATCTGCCCCCTACCAATCCCGACAGCCGCCATCTTGCAGAACCCAATGTGGGAGCAGTAGTAGCAAATGCCAGGCCTCGTGGGACAGGGGAGAAGCTGGTCCCTCTCCTCATTGCCCCCCGCCCCATGGACTCTGAGATGATGCCCATGAACTGCCCCCAGCTACTTATTAAGCTCCTAAACGACCATGATCCAGAGACACACAAAAGAATCTCGGAAGCGAGCAGCTCTATGCAGAGATCTCTTCAGACCCTAATTATTCAAATTTTAGAATTCCAGGAACTCCTGGCCGCTCTTGGGACCATGCAATATTATGTACTATTCATAATAAGCAAAATAAAACAAACTGTCTACCATTGCCTTTTGACAGGTATGAGTGGTGGTGGGAAAATTCCAAATAATAATGGTGGGACTGGTGTCAAAATATTGAATGTAATCAAAGTAGAGAGAGAGTATTGTGGAAATTGTCTGCCACACAGACGGGAATGGTTGTGATTGGGCAGGGGAGAGGGATACTGGGGATTTGGGGGATTTTGGTGGTGGAAAATGTGCACTGGTGGAGGGATGGGTATTTGATCATTGTACAACCGAAACTCAAACATAAAAGTTTTGTAACTGTATCTCACAGTGATTCAATAAAAATAAATAAATAAATTTTAAAAAATAAAATAAATAAACATTTCAAGAAACTCAGGTGAATAAAGCATTGGATATTATTTGGGTTTTTTTAATGCTATTTATATAAAAGATTGTGGTGATTTAGTAATTAGAAAATGTTTGTACAACTTTCACTTGATCATTTGATCACTTGACATCCCGTTAATCATTGATTTGCTCGAGCCCGCACCAGTAACGTCTCCATTCATCCCTGTCACGTGCTAGTGTAGCCTAATGGCCTCTGCTCACTCCAGGAACACGAAAAGCCTCAGATCGATCGTTCAGGGTCTTGACAAAGAAGTCTGACCATCTCGTAGGTGGGCGGCCACACGATCTTTTGACGTCCTGTGGAATCCAGTCCGTAATGGCTCTAGTCCAGCAGTCGTCTCCAAACTGCATTATGTGTCCAGCCCATCTGATTTTCGATTCCTTGGCAAACAAGACACTGTCCCTGATTCTTGATTATTGACAGAGGTTGGAACTCCAGATTCTTTCTCTCACTTGAGTGGAGCGTGATACTCCAAGCAAAGCTCTTTCAATTCCTCTTTGGGAGACCCAAATAGCATTTTCATCATGTTTTTATAGGGCCCAGGTCTCTGAGGCATATGTTAATGCAGGAAGAACAGTGAAATCTAAGAGATATGCCTGGAGTTGGAGGTTCTTCGATGCTCTTGAAGGCGTTCCAAGCTGCTCTCTTCCTCCTGTGCAACTCAGGTGCCAGGTCATTCGTTATGTTGACTTCTTGACTTAGGTACACATAACTATTGCATTTGGAGATGTTCATTCCATTGAGAGCAAATGGAACGTCAGGGAGGAGACCGTTTCTCATAAACATTGTCTTTGTGAGATTCAGCTGTAGTTCTACCTTTCCACACTCACGGTTGAAGTCAGTCAGCACTTGTGCCACTTGGTTAATGTTTGGTGTTATTAGAACGATGTCATCAGCAAAGAGGAGGTGGTAGTTGCCGACCATTATCTTCACTCCCATTCCTTCCCATTCCAGTCGTCACATGACATTCTCGAGGGTGGCACTGAAGAGTTTTGGTGAAATGGTATCACTCTGCCAAACCCCTCTTTTGACATGGATGATTACTTCCTTGTAGAATGATGAGATCATGGTAGTGAATTTGTAATACAGCTCATGGAGGATCCTGATGTATTGAGTTTGAACGCCTTGTTTGGCTAGGGCTTCGATGAGCACTTCAGTCTCAACAGAATCAAAGGCCTTCTTTAAATCAATGAATGCTATACAGAACGGCATCTTGAACTCCCAAGAAGCCTCAATGAGCTTGGTTATCGTGTGGATATGGTCGATTGTGCTGAATCCTTTTTGGAACCCGGCTTGCTCGCATGGTTGTACTTCATCTAGTGTTCTGTAATCCTATTCAGAATGACTCAAGTGACTACAGCTTGTAGACGACAGACAATGCTCCAGGCCACTTTCCGGTCACTCGGGCTGAGATTCACACATGAGTGAAGCCCCACAGAACCAAGTAAGTGGAACTCTGCGACCTTGGTCTCCGGGCTCAATGAGACCCAGCAACAGAAATCCTCTGCCTGCTTCCACCAATCTCCGGTGACCCAGGGATTACACCCAGAAGCCCCACCCTACTGGTACTAGATAAATATCTCATTGGCAGACCTCCACTACCTCTACTACCTCCACTACCCAGCTGCCGCTTCACTCCAGGCCGCTTTCCAGACATCATAAGACACTTAATACCCATCTTCCAAGATTACTGCACCATATTTGATGGGGTTCAACTATCGTTTGAACAATTGTAACACCTGCAAGGGTGATCAGAGGCCTCCCTAAAAGCCTCTATCCCTTTTGGAGAGCCTGGCAAGCTACCAAGAGTATCCCGCCCACACAGCAGAACCTGGCAAGCTATCCGTGGCATATTAAATATGTGAAAACCAGTAAATACAATGGGTCTCATTCCCCTGACCCTGAAAGAGCCACCAATATGGCAGTGTTAAGAAGGATGAGGAAGGAGAGGCTGATAAAATCTCAAGGTTGAACTTGATCACTTGATCACTTGACTTCCTGTTAATGTCAATTTGCTTGAGTGGGCACCAGTAATGTCTCCATTTGTCCCTCTCGTGTGCTAGTGTAGCCCAGTAGCGTCTGTTCTTCTAGGAACACGAAGAGCCTCAAGCCAATCGTTCATGATCTTGATGAAGATGTCTGACCATCTGGTAGATGGGCAGCCACGCGGTCTTTTGACATCCTGTGGAATCCAGTCGGTAACAGCTCTAGTCCAGTGGTCGTCTCTAAATCTCATAATGTGACCAGCCCATCTGATTTTTGACACCTTGGCAAATGAGACAGCGTCCCTGATTCTTGATCGTCGATGGAGGTCGGAACTCCGGATTCTTTCTCTCATTTGAGTGAAATGTAATACTCCAAGCATAGCTCTTTTGATTCCTCTTTGAGAGACCCGAATAGCATTCTCATCCTGTTTGCGTAGGGCCCAGGTCTCTGAGGCATATGTTAATGCAGGAAGAACAGTGGAATCAAAGAGATGTGCCCGGAGCTGGAGGTTCTTCGTCCTCTTAGCTATTTCTTCGACACTCTTGAAGGCGTTCCAAGCCGTTCTCTTCCTCCTGCGCAGCTCAGGTGCCAGGTCATTTGCCATGTTATGTGTACCTCGACCTAGGTACACATAACTGTTGCATTCGGAGATGGTCATTCCATTGAGAGCGAATGG